AGTTGAGGGGTTTTTGGTGTAATTAACTTTTATTATTTGAAAAAATTTAAATTATTTTTATTAAAAATGTTGGATATAGATATGCTAATAAAAATGAAGAAAAAAAATCATTATGAAAGATATGTTAATTTATATTTGAACCAAATAAAATTTTGGATTTTTTTTATAGATTTTTAGCCTTATAACAAAATAAATGTCAAATTTTTAATTTTTTCAATTTAAATCTTAATCTTTTAAATTTTTTTTAATTTAAACAATTTGACTATTTTGTTAAGTAAAATTGATCCAAAATGGGTATTTTAGTTATTATATTCAATGAAGATGTATGGAAAAATGTCTAAAATATTATTATTTTTTATTGAATTTAATAATTAAAATATTTTTTTTTGTCAATTTTACTTAAAAATTAAAAAAATATTTTAAATTAAAAGATTATTTTATTACAAAAATCAAATCTTGACATTAGTTGGTTCTAATTTTCTGAATTCAATTTTTTGAAAATTGAGATTTTTATTTTTCTTGTTTTTATTTTTTTATTTTTAGTTAATTTTTTAAAATTTTAAGCAAATTTTTACTTTTTAGATACATCTAACCTAAATATACCTAAAAAGTAAAATATTTGTAAAAAAATATTTTAAAAAATCAATAAATATATAAGAATACGAAAATGTACTAAATTTATATATATATATATATATATTTATTTTTGGTATATAGTGAATTTTTTAAATATTTTTTTCACAAAAAATAACTTAATTTTTAAAAAATTAAAACCAAATAAAGAATATTATTTTTAAAAATTTCTCCTTAATTTTTTTAGAGTCCTCCAAAGCTACACAATTATTGGTTGGTTTAGGCTAAGTTTGGGAAGTCCTAAATAAGCCAAAAAGTCAAAAAGTTACTCAAAAAGTTAAAAAGTTAATACTATTCACCAAAAGTCAACAATTACGGCTGCACAACTCTCAATTCAAATTTTCCTCTACAAACCAATTTTTACAATTTTTTATTACACATTTTTCCATAAAAAGTCAAAAAGTTAACCCAAACATCCATATTTTCAATCTCAATTTTTTAGTCCAAAAAGACAAAAAGTACACTTATTTAGTCTTCCCAAACTTGGCCTTAGTAACGCTACATAACTAATTAATATAATTTATCATATCTTTTCACATTTTTTAATTTTTCAAAATAAATTCGTGAATTTCATACCGTCAGACCATCACGTGAAGTGCGCAAAGCCCAACCGATAATTTGTCCGCATAACAGCCATCTACAAATTTTTTTTTTTTATTGTTGAATAATATTACATGTACCAATTAATATACTAATGTATTAATATTAGTTATGACATTATTATTAATCATACTTATTATATAAATTATAAATACTAATTTTTTTTTAAATTATGTTACATCATCAATTAATATATTAATTAGTGTATTAATTAGTAACTATAGCATTATTTATTTATTTTTTGATTCGCATGGAAACTTAAAAAAATGCTATGGTCCCAAATTTTAGGATTTGGAGGGACTATTGTATCCGCACAGTAGTCACTGTTATGTAATAAAACAGGTTCATATTAAGATTCATTTCAATAATCTGAATCGTTCACATTTTATAATATATTAAGAAAAATATGTTTGTAAAAAATCAAGTTAATTGGATGTTGTTTACTTATTCATTCACTCATATTTGTATTTACAAAAATAAATAATAATTGTGATTTAAAATATTAAAATAAATACAAATGTGAGTGAATGAAAGAATTAATGATATCTGATTAACTTGATGTTTTGCAAATTTATTTTACTTGATATATTTTAAAATATAAATTGTTTGAATTATCAAAATGAGCCCCAAAATAAGCTCATTTGGCTGCACAACAGCAACCCGAAGTACCAAATTTTATAGGTGTATGGTCCACAAAAATATAGACCATATATCTATATAAAGACATTTAATTATTTATTTGATTGAAAATTTAAGCTTTGTTTGGTTTTAGATTTTTGGCTAACAAAAAAAAAAAAAAACCAAATTGGCTACATGAGTCAATAAGACAAAATATTACATCCAAATCAGAATTATTATACTTTTTCTTTCATAAAAATTAAAAAAAAAATCGAAAAATCAAATCAAATAAGGTTAAAAAGGTCAAATTAAAACAATTTCAATATAAAAAAGCGAACCAAAAAAACCAATGCCAAACGAAGATTTACACTATGTTTGTATTGATTGATTTGGAGAAAAAAAAAAGAAAAAAAGAAATGGAGAGATATGTATTTTTCTTACTTGTTTGGATAACTTAAGTAGAGAGAAATAAAAAGAAACGAAGAGAAATCTATTTTTTTTACAATCCTCATTTTTAATCTCTCCAAAAGTGGAGAAATTGAGAGAGAGAAAAAAAACAGATTCTTATATTTTCATAATACCAAATTTGTCCCTATGAAAATAAAAGAAATAAAATGATTAACAAAATATAAAAAAATTATTTTAAGAATTATAACACAATCTTCTTTTCTCTTATGAAATCTAACCAAATAAGAAAGAAATAAATCAGAATCATTTCTTTTCTTTTATGTTTTACTTATCTAAATAAGAATAAGAAAAAATCACATTCTTTTTTTTTTCCCCCTTATAATTAGGGCTGTTCAAAAATTCGTTCCAACCGATAATCCAAACTGAACCAGACCAAACCCTACTGTTTGGTTCGGTTCTATTAAGAACCAGTTCGGTTTCGGTTTAAAAAATATGAGAACTATAAAAACGGTTCGGTTAATGAATTTTATAAAAAACACATGGTTCGAACCAAATTTTGAAATATATATATATATATATATAATATCAAGTTTTATTTTTATTAATTGATTTTTTATAATTTTAATGATATTATGATGATATAGATATGTAATGTTGAGTAATGCCTTAATATTATTAGTTTTTATCGTGAGTTAAATATAATTAGTTTGAGTAATTATTTTGCTAATATTAACAATTTATTCTTGTAAATAAAATTTTTTAGAACCGTGAACCAAACCGAAACCGGTTCTGGTCCGATTTTACAAGTGTAATAGTCTGGTCTGATTCTCAAAATCACAGAACCGTTAAGATCAGTTCGATTCTTGGATTTTCTCAAAATCAAACCAATCCAGACCATGTACACCTCTACTTATAACTTAATTATAACTTAAGTAATCATTTTTTTTACTTATTCTATTAAAACAGACTATCTTAGTATTTTTTTAACTTTTTACGAAAAATATATAAAACAATAAAGAAAATGATGTGATACTTATTAGGGGTGAGCAGCGGATATACCGATCCGTCAAAACCGACCGAACCGAACCAATCCACCGCATTTTGGACGGATGTGTGATGATAAGTAGACGGTTGCAGATTAATTTTCTCCAATTTGCCAATCTGGTAGACGGATGGCGGATTTGATATTCCTTTAGCCACAACCGAACCGCCAAACCGCAAGCACCCCTAGTAATTTATAAGACTGTGTGTTTTCAGTTTGTTTAAATATATTCTATTTGTGTTTTCAATTAAAAAAGAGTTTAAATATTCTGTTGAAAAAAAAAAATTCAACTTGAATATTTTTTTTGAATTGAAAAAAATAAACGTATTATTTATATATATCTTTTGGTTTTTAAATCTATCTCTAAAAATAATAAATAGAAAATATGATATATGCTGGTTGGTTTTTGTTTTCAAAAATAGATATAGATGTAACAATACAGAGACATACAATATCTACTACTGCTCTGTTCATAATTTTGGTGGTTTGAATTGTTTTTATATTTTAAGAACCGCATATTGTAATACTTTATGTGGATGAGGTATATTGTGATTGTAATATGTGGATGAAGCATGCACTGATTGTGATATTATAAAGTTTCAAACTTTCTTGCTTTGGATGAGACGTGCAGTAATTGTAATATTTTTTCAAGGAAAATGTTTGGTGGCCACAAATTCTGTGGCTAAAACGGCTTGAAACTGTCAAAACGACATCGTTTTGTACTCAAAACGATGTCGTTTGGGGTGTTTTGAGCCATTTGAGCCACAGAATTTGTGGCCCCTAGCATTGCTGTTTTTTAAGTCATTGGCTGCAATACTCTTTTTTTTTTTTTTTTTTGGAGGAAGCGCACAAGTTGAATTATGTTAAAAATTTATAAAATTTTAAACCGTAAAACTGATTCGCATCCATCTGTCATTTTTTGGAGGAAGCGCACAAGTTGAATTATGTTAAAAATTTATAAAATTTTAAACCGTCAAACTGATTCACATTCATCTGTCAAACTCTCAATCCACATCCGTCAAATTGACGGATAAATATAAATTAATTTTTTTCAATCTACTAATCTGACAGGTGGATGACAAATTGAAAGTTCAGACCGACGTCACCCCTAATACTTACAGTCGCTTTTTAATTTTTTTTTGGGATTAAAACAGAAGGTGTTGCCAAACGAGAAGCTACCAAATAGTGGTGCTGTTTGGTGTAGCTGTTAAAATAAATTATAGATTATAACTTAACAAATTATAGATTATGACTTTAATCAGAAGTTGTTAATTTGTTTGGTATAGCTGTTAGATTATAGATTTAAGTTGCTGAGTAGCGTTTGTTAAATAAGTTGTGAAATAGTTTTTTCAATTAATTTTTATTTTTTATTATTCACTATTTGTTTATATTTTTCATAAAAAATAATATTTTATAGTCCATTTGAATCTTTTTCTATTTTAAAAAAAATAAAAAATAAAAAAATTTAAGAGTATAACCGTGAATTAACATGTCCACAGTAGAAGCTGATAATCAGAAGCAAACAGCTTATCAAAATCAATTTTTTTGACTTAAAATAAGTTGTTAGAATCAAAAGATATTTGAAATAAATTTAACTAAACAATTCAAAATAACTTTTTAAAAGCTAAAAACCATAAATTAGTTCAAAAAAGCTCCACCAAATGCCCCAAGTGTTAGGATACTAGCATTGCCTGGAAACTTAACCAACCAATACGCGTCACTCTCAATCACACGCGTTCACACTCTCCCGCATCTCACCTATACGCATTCACTCTCCCTCAGAGACACCAATCTCTGGAATCGACAATGGCGACGACGACGACCACTACTACTACAACTCCGGCCGAACCAGACGACGACCTCCACCTCATCGCCGCCGAGCAACGCTGCGAGCTCATGGCCGCGCAAGTCCTCGAGTCCGACCTCGACCTGGCTTTCCGACTCCAAATCCAGGAAGCCATCACCGCCTCCTCTGCCTCCACGTCCGCCTCCGCCTCCGCCTCCGCCTCCGCTCCTCCACCTCAATTGATCACTAACGACGATGAAGACAAAGTCTTCAACTTTTCTTCTCTCCAGACCGAAGAGCTGGAGAAATTCGAGCGCGAATGTCGCGATCGCATAATCACGGAGGCCGAGATGAAGAAAGCGAAAAATGATCTCTTCCGCCGAATCCACGACTACAAAGTCGCTTCCGAGATTGAGCTCATGCCGGAGGACGAGTGGGAAGAGTTCGGCGAGAATTTCGAGCGGCCCTTCGGGGAGGGCTCGTCGAAAGGAGGCGCGAATGCGGCAGCTTCCGAGACTTTTAGGGTTTATTTCAAGGGTTTGGTGAGCGAGGAGAGAGTCAGTGGTTCGAATGTCTCGTTGGCTGGGATTGGAGTCGCGATTTGCGATTCCAGAGACGAATTGATTTTCGAGTTGAGGAAGCCTCTGATTGGGAATGGGAAGAATCGTCAGGCTGCCGAGGCCAAGGCTTTGATTGAAGGCTTAAATTCGGCCATTGCTTTGGATTTGAAGAGGATCGTGTTTTTCTGCGACTGCTATCCCCTCTACCAATTTGTGAGTTTTCATTTGCATTTTTTCCCCCTTATGATTATTGTTTCAAGTTATGGATGTTAAAAAAACATGCTGCATTATCTATGGAGATGTGTTTTTGGATAATTTTGGCCCTGAATTTATTGCTCAATAACTAAATGATTTGAGTTTAGGTCGTGTAAAACCTTTCTTCTATATATATAGCTATATGTGGCGCTGTGTGCTTCTTTATAAGACTTGACATTGTGGAGCATCTTGATATCAAGGCCTAAGATCAGTTGGGAAA